TTTTTTATATTTTACATATATATACACCACTCTGTTACCCGGTTCGCTGAGCTAAGTTTTTTTATTCTTATGCGTTGGTAAATCTTGCATTTTTTGCTTTAAAAATGATTTAATTATTTGTTCTTATGTTTCGGTTAACACTTTTATGCCTTTAGTTAATATTAATGCAATAATGGTAGAATTATCAACAATTTATAAGTTCCACTAAGCGTAACGACGCTTCCATTTGTTTACGTTTGAAACTTAGTAGCATAGTGAATTAAGTAAGTTTCTGCACTAACTTCAGCGTCCTTTTGCCGAATGGAGCCAACAGTTTTCTGCACAGAAAAATATGTCGTTCTGCCAAATTTTAATTTATTTAAATTCTAATCTTAATTTAAATTTTTTTTCGTCGGTTTTAAACTCAGTGTGGTGGTGTTTTTTTTTTTTTTTTTTTTTTTTTTTTTTTTTTTTTTTTGAGTTTCTGTTTTTTACAATTTTGAATGAATGTGTTTTGAGGTTTTATGTATTTTTTCCTTGCCGAGAAGTAAGAACTGAGTTGATTGAATGAAAAATATATCTCTAACGAAATTGGGGGAAATAAGTTTAAATGAAATGCAGCCAAAAATTTGCCTAATTTAATAGGCCATACAAGGAAGTCATGTGGTGTCCACATCAAATTTTTTACTGTTTATGGGCAGAGTAAATTTAATTCATTTTGAAAACATAAAGTTAGCCAAACAAATCTTTCTTGCCGATTCATAAAATCACCAGTGGTTTATAAACTCTTCGGGGGGGATACGAGCAGTCAAAATGTGCCAGTAAAGGCGTCACAATTATCTGAACTTTTATAAAGCTGGAATTTTGCTTGAAATTATATGTTTTAACATACATGCATACTATATGGAATAAGATGACTCATATGTTAGGGACAGTTTCGAATTTCTTATTCAGGATTTTTAAAATTATTAATATTGAATATCTTTTCAAGTTTCGGTAACTTTAATTATGTAAAATGAGAATTGGCCTTAGAAATACTTATGGTGTCACTGTTTCTCAAATTTAAAACGCTAGTGTATATTTTGAATAAAAAAAAATTTAAAAAAAAAAAATCTGAAATGTTTCAGATTTTAAATTAGCGTCCAAAGGGACGTTTTTGTAGCATATTGTGTGTTACCTTTATTTATTAAATATCATGTTCTTTGCACATAAAACCATTAAGATCCAGTTCAATAGCAATATGCCGCAAAATAATTTTAAAATGAGCATACCTTTAGAATTTTCCGAATACACAGTTCCGCGCGCTGGAGATAAAAATGGTTTTTATTCCTGTAGAGTGTTGCCATTGCTCGCTTTTAAATCTCTGAGTTTGTTAACTCAAAAATTCGTTAAAGTTTTATAAAATATGAAATCGATCATAAAACAAATTTCAAATTTCAAATTGGGTCTTCCACATGCTCATATTCGTTGGAGGATTACGTTATTCAAAATTCGATGGACTCTATGTACCGTTGTTTTATCACAATACGAGAAATATACATACATTTATGCAGATTTTCAATATTTAATTTCTTCAAATATAATGCAGGACTCTAACATTTTGTGGCAACAGTTTGAAAAGTGAACCGACATTTATGAGTCCGACGCAAAATGCCAAAACGAAACTAATAGTCCTTCGGGATTCAAATCCCTTTGAAATAAAAACAATGGCCATCGTGGGTTTTTTTTTTTTTTTTTCGGGGGAGGCACTCTCATGGCTGTTGCCATTTTTCTGGTTGGTATCAGGTTTTATTGCACGAAACGATCTATTACCATTCCTATATCTATGCTTATTAACGTACATTAATTAAATACAATAAATTATCTAATTGTTTAAAAATCAAGGACTAAAAAATGAATAAATATAACAATCAAAGCAATTAAACAATCACATCTCACTCCGACTATTCGTGCCAGTGCATGCGGTGTTACGCATATGCGATTCTTAGCAAATGAATTGGCTAGTCAAGTAAAAATAAACACAGATGTACGTAAAAAACAAGAACTTTTTAACAATTGTATTCTTTCATGTGTAAAGTCCCGTAGATATACTTCCGTGTGAAAACTGTAACAGTAGTAACTGCACAACCGAAGGGTTAAAGTAACCCTTTATTAACTCTTTAAAATTTACAGTGCGCCAATTCGACGCTAGCAAACTTCGCGAGCGGGGCTTTTTGAGTTTGCCTCTGTCTGAATACAATAGACGTTATATCTGTTGTGTTTTTACTTCCTTGCACGAAGTAAAAAGGAAGTATTGTAATCGCGAAAAGTTTCGGCCATCATATTTCAACGCAAATATCCATTTTCACCGCGTCGAATTTTTTTTTAACGATGTTTTGCTGACATATGTACGTAAGGCAGAATAAAAGGACTCTTTTCCCCCAAAAAAATGTATAAAACTAATTTAAAATGAATTCTAAAGAGAATTTTCGTGGCGTCTGTGCGTACGTACGTATGATCTCGCATAACTCAAAAACTAGGAGTTTTAGAACGTTGAAATTTGGTATATAAGACTGCTATATCATATAGATGTGTGCCTCGTATTTTGGTTGCAATCGGCCGCACCAAAAGTATATAAATATACGTATATATATATCCACTCTGTTACTCGGCTCAGTGATCTCAGTTTCTTTATTTTTATATGTTTGTAAATTGTGCATTTTTTGCTTTAAAAATGGTTGAATTAGGCTGTTATTATCTTCCAATTAAGGTATTTATGCCTTTAGTAAATATGTATGCAATAGTTTTAGAATTATTAACAATTTAAAAGTTGTTTAAGTGACGTTAAGCCTAATAATTTTTCAGCCATTGCTTGTTTACATTTGAAACAACAAAATAGTAGATTTGTTGCCAATCTAGAGAAAGTAAGCTTCGCAATAACAAAGATAACGCCTTCTTTTATTATTGTGAATTAAATCATACGTAATCCATTCTGAAATTTATTCGAGGAAATAAATATTTAAGATTTACTTCACAATTTTCAATACAGACAGCTTGAGTTTTAATGTATTTTTGCCTTGTCGCGAATTGAGAACTGATTTAATTGAATGAGAAATTCTGAATCGTCTGTGAAAAACTGTTTCTTTTTTGTTGTTGTTGGTGTTCTTTGCTTAATTTCTTTTACATCGTTTTAGATTTATAAAGTATTAATAGAACCTGTGGCAATGATTAGATAATTTTAAGATGATATAATTTTGTTCATTTTGAGTTAAAAAACTGAATGTAGCGCTGTTAGTGAACCTGCCAGAGTGTCCGCTTTGGTAAACAAATATAATGAATTTTAAAGAGTGCCTTTATTCTATGGGTTTATGTGCTATCGTGAGTATTTAATTAATCCATACGTTTCCGAATGCAAGAAAAATGGGTATCTTTTTTCGTACAAGGAAGTCTGTGGGCACACATCAGATTTTTATATTATGAACTTTAAAATGTTGAACTAATATATATTTAATGAGACAAAGAGAGGGCATAAAAAGATGAAGAATTCCATGCGAAACTTTGCGTCGTTACCAGAGATAATTATATACATTAGAAAATTTACTAAGAAGAATTTGCCTTAGCACGCTTGCAGATGCCATTTATGCCCACATAGTAGTGACTTTAACAAAGGCATGACGTCTTAACACTAAAATATTTTATTTTTTATTTTTATTTATTTATTTATTATTTTATTATTATATATATATATATATATATGGGGTGTGTTGTAGAGAGAGTAAGTGAGTTTTGTGTAAGTGCCGTAATAAAATATTTAAATAATTTCTTTTCTTCTTTTTTCAGCTCTTTCACAGCTTGAGATTTATCTTTGATGATTTACTACACATTTCGGTCATTTTACTGTGAGTATATATAAACAGTAAAATGATATTATTTTATAGATATGTTACCGGCAATGTATGAAAATGTGCTATAGAACACATGGCCTGCTATTGGCTTTTGATAGAATGTCTGGCGTTTTTAGGTAAAGTACGAAATATGAGAATTATTATATACTTTAGCTGGGCATTATACATAATACCTAGGCATTTTTTGTAGAATCACAAATGCGCTTTAGACAAAGTATGAAAAAAGATCATGATAAGCTATTATTTAAAAGACGTTCATTCCTGAAAAATTCAAATGATATTTTGAAAAAATATGAAAGACTGCCATTAAAAATCTTTTATTCTAAACACGTAAAAAAATTAGTGAGATGATCTTGGTACACTATAATAAATTGGTGTTCTCGATCGGACTGGAAATCAATAAGACCTATCTGACAACGGAAAATAAATTTAGAAAAATCATAGGTTTGAAAAAATAGTGCCATTTTTAATACCTTTTTGTTTTTTCTTGCAGGGCTCACAAAGGTAGATGTACGGTTCAATATAATTCCTTGTAACATTTTTGTATTTTGTTTACAGTTTCTTCAACATTCTGTCACGGTCTCCGTGCTCAACAGTCAAACGAATTTCATGAATTCATGAAATAACTGACTCCTACTTAACAGGACAAACGAGTTTATTTTTGTCTTCCATAAACATCACTTCATAGCGAAGTAGTAAAATTTTGGAACTGACTGCATGAAACATTCCTTACAATAAAATAGTACTATATATGAGAAATAGGTATTTACCATTTAAATTTACGTATTACGCTACGTTACCAAACTGCTACCACTTATTTAAACTATGTGGACTGGCAAATTATCATTTCTACGAATGCTGTCATTTTACATGACTAGTCAAACTTATCATTTCACGCAGCAAAAGAGTTTTTAAAATTTTACATATTCTTTTTTTGGAATTTTTCAAAGTTATTACTGAAATTACCGTCTGATATGGATGTACAAATTACCTCGAAGAAGTTTTGTTGCTTTATGATAACAAAACCTAACATGGATATGGAATTATTTTGAAAGAATCAAGTGCGTAGGAATATTGTTACATCAACATTGAAAGTGAAAATATCATTGCGTTGGTTACAAGTGCTTTTTGTTATAAGTAGTTGCTAAGAAACTTTAGTAAATTTCTTGAAACACTGTATTTTTTCTTATTAATTGTTTTCCTAAAGCAATTTTTCTCGGAATGAACTACTGTTATGTATTCTGTTTCTAGGTTAACACGATACACATCATCGAAAATTCTCGTACAAGTAAAAGTCTGTAAGAATCCGCTGATTGGTGACAGCTTTCAGAAGGTGGGTCCTTTCTACCCGCTCATGTCGCTGTTCATTCATTGCTACTCGCTGATTATGCTCATTCACATCAGTCAGTGAACTCAGCAAGTCCAACTTGATGAAGATCGGGTCATGACACTGCAGGAGTATACGAAGAGTACGAAGTCCAAAATTCCACCGTAGTTGCTAGAAATCGATAAGAAGAAAAAAAATAAAGATTAAAATTGTGATAGATAAATCTTAACAGCCGCCATCAGATTTGTTGAACATCTTGCCCTTTCCAGATCAATGGGTCAAACAGCTTGTTATCCTGTCGTTAGTTTAATATTTATGCTGATCGTTGATATTTGAAGATAAGTGGTGTAAGGTAGACTTACTTTTTTTTACTTTTACACTGCTAAGGAGGACTACTGACCGGGAACAAGCCCTTGCAGTATGATGTCCGCCCTGCAGAAGCCCTAACGGCATTTAGAGTCTAAGTTTAAAAAATATATATTACAGAGTCACATCTAGCTAGGGAAAACAAAGTCCTACCTTGAATGCATATGACATTTTTGATTGCATAGATTATAAAAAATACTGAGCACAGTGCTGCATTGATACAAAACTGGTTAGGGTAAAACAAAAACAGTAAATTTGGATTATTGGAATTTCACGGCATTCACACCCTGACTTTAATACTTACTATATTCGCAATTAAAATTTATGCAATATTTATCTAATGGGAAAAACACAACCATAGTACCTCTACTCAAAAACAACTCTCTTACGTTCGTATCAGAACAGTACACACTGACATAGTAAAGCTGATCTACAAATAAAACACAACATAACTGGTATGAAAAGTGACCATTCAATGAGCTGTACTGTAACGCTAAACTAAAGAACACTAGACAAAACCTTTGGAAACAGTACAGGAATTAGAATAAATATTAAGCAGAGTTAGAATACGGCATTTCAAAACATTAAACCAGCAAAAATTTCAAACTATTTACAAAGTTCTACACCAAGAAAGTCTGATTCATACTACTATTATACATCACCTTACTTATCATTATACGACCCTTAAACTATTATACTCCACATTAATAGAAAAATTTATTCAAGACCTTAACGGAATACTGTACATACATTGAAATAAATGGCGAATACTACAAATAAACAGTCAATATACAGTGTTATCAGAAAGTTGGTTCTGGGCCACGAATATTTGTTTATAAAATGTTGCATTTCACCAGTACAGAAACTGTACAAAACATTTGCACACAATATTTCATGGTACTAGCCGAGAGCTCTATATATGTATTTACTATTATACCGCAAACTTAATTGAAAACATAACTTAATTGAAAACATAATAAGGTAGACTTACTGAATGGCCAGTGAATATTATACGAGACATTTTACTATTAAGATTGAAAAACAACGCTAACTTACCTTTCGGTAAAAATCTAACAGGGCGTCTAAGCATAATTAGATTTTAGCTGATATTTTCTGTATACTCTCTATATTAGCCTTTCTTAGAGTATGAAACCCTGTGAAACGTAAACTGAAATAGATTTTAACTGAATATTGTTATTATTTTCCCCTGTTATCTGTCCATTATCAGTGTAAAACTGGAAAAATGGACAAATAGTCAAAAATCAGATGCAAATAAATTTTAAAATACCTTATACTTCAAAAAAAATTTTAATAGAATAGAAACATCTAGTAAACATTTTAATTGTAACCAAACGACTGCCAGCCTAACTTCAAATCAAATTAAATCAAAGAAGCATAATTCATATTCACTTACAAACGAACTTCTCTAACTCGCATCAGGGTACTTAGGTGGACATCTTTTGTAATTTATCAAATAACTGTTTCAAAGTACAAAAGGATTATTTACATCTTTTGTACTTTGTTGAAGGATTCATGATTTTCCTTCTTAAGTAATTACCCAGTTGTACAGAATTCAAATATTTGATTTTTTCCCTCCAAAGATAAACTTTCTGCATCTGAAACTGACCGCAGAAATGCTTTCAAGATCACTAACTTTCAAGATCTATTTAGGAAATCGGTGTACTTGTCACACTCAAGGATGTCGAATGTCAAGCAGAACTATACGCATCGACAGAGGCTTTGAACTGGATTAATAAAAAATTAACCGTTCAATGTTTTACAAATATTTATACTGATGTCTTATTTGCGCTTCAGGCACTCGCCCAACCAGATCATAAAAAATCGACTGATTAATGAAATAAAAGACTTGTTTAAAAAGGCTGAAATAAAGCATATTGTCACATTACACTGGATGAAAGCACGCAGTGGAATTGTCGGAAATGAAAGGGTTGCTAAAATGGCGGCACTTGGCGATGGAACAGATAATTTTGATAGCCAAGATTCAAGAAAAAATACAATTACTGAATTGGAAAATTGGATTTAAACAGAATGGGATTTTTGCTGGGAGTCGGCTAACAAGCAAAAAAGAGTTAATAAAAAATATAAAGTTAAATAAGAAGACGAATATTATAAATGATGTTGCTATAAATCAGGTACTGACTAATCATGGGAGTTTACTGGCTTATTTTAATCGGTTCCATCTACAGAATAAAGACAAATGCTTATTTTGTGATAAGTTTGGGGTCGCCAGGCACTTTCTCGATGAATGTACGCTTACCCGGAATGCAAGAGAGAAATACAGAAAGAATTTTAAGGAAGATTTTAAAAGAAACTACTCAAACTTGAAAGATTTTGTAAAGATAATAATGAAAATTATAAATACGAACAAAGATAAAACTGGAATTCGGCACTGAGACTCAGATTTTGGATTTCATATGTTTTTTTTCTGGCCAGTTTTAATTTATGTAGCAAAACTACATTTGATACAAAGATTTAAATCAGGGACACTTCGTATAATAATATAAACAATACAACTTGGTAATAAAACGAGTTGCATGCAGCAAGATTGGTCTTCATTTGAACCACAATGGGTCATTTAAAATTTATTTGATCATATTCAAAGAGAACTTCAAAATATCACTTCAAATAAGTTTATATCAAAATCATGACTCCTAAACATGTCGCTTAAAATGCTCACGAATGACTGCTCAACAATTTCATTAAAGGTATCAGAATGGCTCTCTAGGTTTCCAGCTTGAATTAAGAATTAAAGTGGCAAAAATTGAAAGTATTAGTAAGAAAACAAAATATATTACTTCACTTTTACAAAGTAAAGGAAGTATTGTTATCGGGGAAAATATAGGGTATCGTATTTCAACGAAAATAACCACTTTGGCAGCTCTGGAATCCATTTGAATGATGATTTTGCTTGACATCTGTACGTACGGACAGAATAAAAGACATTTTTTTCCAGAACGGAGTGTAAAATGGATTTAAAATGGATTCAGTACAGACGTTTTCGTGACGTCTGTACGTACGTATGTATCTCCCATAACTTAAAAATTAGAAGGCGTAGAGTGTTGAAATTTTGTATACGGAAGTGCTATAACATGTAGTTGTGCACTTCCCTTATTCATTGCAATCGACCGCACCAGTGTATATCAATATGTATATGTATTCCCACTCTGTTATCCTGCTCGGTGAGCTCAGCTTTTCTATTCTTAAATGTTAAGAAATTGTGCATTTTTTGCTTTAAATGTAATTGAATTATGCTATTCTTATGTTCCGGGAATGGGTTTTATGCCTTTAGTTAATCTGCATGCAATGATTATAGAATTATCAACAGTTTAAAAGTTTAGGTTACGCTACTAGGCGTTATGAGACTGCCATTTGTTTACATTCGAAACTCTTTTAGTAGAACAGTAAATTAAGTTGCACCAACTTCGGTCTGTTTTTCCTAAGTGTGACCAGAAGTTCAATTTAAGTTTCGTATACCAAAATTTTGTCTTTCTGCCCGATGACCAGAAACTTGTTTTTGTGTAGAAACTCTAATTCAATTGTAGAAATGGATTTTAAATTATTTTTAACTGCATTTGGTGTTTTAGTTGTTAGTCCAAAGGGGTTTCAGTCCAGAAGGACTATTACTTTCGTTTCGGCATTTTGCATCGGACTCCTATAAATGTCGGTTCACTTTTCAAACTGTTGCCACCAAATTTTAGAGTCCTGCATTATATTTGAAGAAATTAAATAATGAAAAATCTGCATAAATGTATGTATATTTCTCGCATTGTGATAAAACAACGGTATCTAGAGCCATCCAATTTTGAATGACGTAATCCTACTGCGAATATGGACATCTGAAATCCCAAATTTGAAATTTGGAATTTGTTTTTTATTATCGATTTCTATTTTGTAAAACTTTAAAGAATTTTTTGAGTACAAACGATTTAAAGCGAGCAATGGGCAACACTCTACGGGAGGGACCTTTTTTTATCTCCGCGCGTCGAACTGTGTCGGAAATTCTAAAGATATGCCTCATTTTAAAATATTTTGAGACATTGCTATTGAACTAATTTTATGGTTAAGGTGCAAAGAACATGATATTTAATAAATAAAGGTAACACAAAAAACGCTAAAAAACAGCCCTTTGGAAATAATTTAAAAATCTAAAACATTTAAGTTTTTTTTTACATTTTTTTTTTATTTTTTTTTTACAATTTTTTAATGACGATAGAGTTTTTATATACAGGTCTCACAAAAGGATGGGACACCTTGTGCTTTACAAAAGGAACTGTAATAAATAATTAAAGACATGTAAGCATTTTTTGGGTGTGTTTCATACTTAAATTTAGTACAATTATTACATAACATACATTTTCTCATAATATTAAAATATTAATTTAATAAAAGTACAATTGTTTAGAACGGAGCAAAAAAAATGGCTCACGTAAGTGAGGGACACCATAGATACTCTACTCGACAATAAAAATATTTTTGGGGTTTTTATTTTTTCAAAAGCAATTGGCATAATTTATAAAATCTTTGTAGTATTTTGCTCCAGTTTGATTTGGAATTTTTGTTTTTTTAGCTCTGTGCAGCCTGAATGCTAAACGAAAAGAAACTTTGCCCGAAAATTCGAAAATTAGTTATTAATTGATATGAACGTGGAAAAATCTATTAGAAACTGCTGACAGTTAACTTGAGTCATTTCAACAGTTTCAATATCATTAAACGATATAAAAAGAATCATATGATCAGATAAAAGAAGACCTGGCCGACCATCAAAGCTATCCAATGGAATAAAG